AGGCAAAAATCCTTGTGCATCTTACTCTATTATTTGTTTACCTGCGTTATATATGCATCAGAAGCTACTATCTGTCCTTGACTTTCCACTCACTCTACTTCCTCTCATTTGCAATGGAAGTTTTAAGAATTCTAAATGAAAAGATTCTTAATTTTTTTAGTTATCAACTGAATTTAGAAACCATGTTAGAGAGAATTAAAAATAAAAAAGAATAATTTAAATTAATAAACTAACTGACCTTCACCTTTTCGTTTTAGTCCTTTAGCAATTTCGTAAAAGGTTTTCTCGTATATAAAGCAAAAATTAGTTTCGTAGGTGACCTTTTAACCGTAACAGATTTCCTCTAATCAATAAATAACTATCATATTTTGTAATATTTTGTAATAGTCCTTAATATAATTTGTTTTCTATTTCTTAAAGGCAGCTTACAAGTGCAGAACAGTGAGCGTTTTGTAATCATGCATTATTTACATTTCATACTTTGTCTAGTATCTTTTTATTTTTTGCCATAATAAAATACTTCAAGTAGCAACCCAGAATTACTCCGACTGCTGCTGTTGCTGCTGCTGCTGCTGCTGCTGCTGCTGCTCCTGTTCTTATTCTTGTTGTTTTCGCTACCCAAAGTTGCAATTTTATATGCTGCCATGCTAGGATAATGCTGTTAGCATTATAACTAGTAAAGAGTTGCATTCAATTTGTTATTCACAGTTAGAGTACAGCTTTCCATGTACGGCACGAGCGAAAGGAAAGATTTTGCTCAGTCTTTAGTTGGATGGCGTTTTGCTTTATTTTTGTTAAACATTTCATTTCATTTTTATTTATTTATTTATTTTTTTGCTGTTTCTTTTGTTGCTTCTTCTGTTGAGACTACTTTCAAATCTATGCTAAGCAAATCCTTGGTGTATTGAAATGTTAAGAGTAAAAGGATGTGCGCTGTCTTTAATTTAAGGAAAATTCAGAAAACGAAATTGAATTGAAGATTCTCTACAAAAATACGATTCTGGGAGCGAATGGAGTGGAAATCGCATAAGCGTGTCGTCTTACATTGGTATGCAGTAATGTATGGCATCCTTTTGTACTAGCAACCAACCCATAAGAAAATGGCTAGTCCCTTTTGAATTTCATTGACTAACTTTGGTATCGCGATGAAATACTATTAAATGCGTAATGCCAAAACTTATTTGACACAAAAATAAACATAAATATAAAAATCTGAATTAAGTGTTTAACGTGATAAAGTAACTAGATTATATGAACTTTGTGCAGTTAAATAAGTGTTAGGTATAATAAGTTGAGACTATAGATAGTATGTAACACTATCGTCCTTTAGCAATAACTAAGCATTATAGTATTACATTATATTGTTACTTAACTTAACACTACTAACTAAACACTATAGTGTTAAATAGAATTTTGCGTAAGCAAAGATTAAGTTTGTTACTTAATACAATATATATAACATATACAATATTAAATGATCAATTACAAAAACAATAATTATGATATTAAGTAATAAGTTATATACAATAACATTTAAAATAGTTATTTTGTCAAAATTTTAATACACAATACAAGTAGAAACTTTTCAAAAATTGTATGTTCGTTATGTATAATTCATGAAATTCTTTGTTTAGAAAATCTGATATATAGATACCATATATATATACACACCTGCTTTAAAAATATGAATTCATATTTGGTACTTCTGTTATTGGTTATATGTATTGTTATAAGTGTACTCAATCAATTTTATTCAATTTTGGAGTAGATCTGTCGGTCTTCTCTTTTCGAGTTACCTTGGCAGAGTTGAGAAATAATGAGCTGCGGTAGTGTTTACCATATGGTCTGCGTCGATAGTTCATACAATTACGAAGAACTCTTTTTTCGACGACTCGGATCAATTTTATCTGGTGAGAGCTAATTCCAAAGCAAATGAGAAAAGCGTTGAAAGTATTTCAGTACAGATATTTTTTCAGTTAAAGTTAATTGCACTTCAAAAAATGAACGTTTGTATTAGATTCATTATGTATTTAAAATATGATGTTCGGAATCTGCAACAACATAATTTATATAATTTTAATTTTTACTCTTGAGTCTTTATTTTTTTAAGAATTTTTTCTATTTCTAAATTTTTCTTTTCTCTTCTTAGTTTAACAAAAGTTTTTTTTCTATCTAAATTCAGATAATCCTTGTTCTAGTCCGTGATTTTTCAATACCCCTTGA